ATATTTTCCTTTTTTTTCTTGAATTGAGACCTAGGTATTTTATTATTTTCTGTATTTATTTGTTTGGCTTATTCTTTAAGATGTAAAGTTGGACAAATCGAAATCTCTATTCTATTTTTATCCTCATAAATTAGTATCAATAAAAGAGGTAACATATAGTCAACTGTTTTCAATATTTTTGAAATTTTAATTTTCAAAAATTTATAAATTAAGATGAGAAATTGAGAATTTTATTACTACTAGTACTAAATAAGGGCTTAATGATCAAAAAGGTTAAAAAATAAAATAAAAAATCATGTGCGTAAGCATCACGCTTTCTTATAACTCTTATATAAACCTTTCTTCCCTCTTCAGGCGTCTCACTATCTTTTCTCTTTCTAACAAAAAATAAATAAAACCTCTGTTATAAGAAACACAGCAACCGTACGGTTAACAATGTCTAGCGCCGAGCCTAAACACGAGCACAGAGAAGAGGAAGAAGCCGCTGGAGCCGATGACGAAGATACCGGAGCTCACGTTGCGCCGATTGTCAGGCTCGAGGAAGTTGCCGTAACAACTGGCGAAGAGAACGAAGATGCTATCCTCGATTTGTAATTGATTTCTCTGATAATCGTGTTTATTTTTTTCGATCTGCTTCGATTTCTAGGAATGATGAATAACTTTAATACTTGTGAATTTGTCGTAACAGGAAAGCGAAGCTATATCGATTTGACAAAGAGGGAAATCAGTGGAAAGAGAGAGGTGCTGGTACTGTTAAGCTTTTAAAGCATAAGGAAACTGGAAAAGTTCGTCTTGTTATGCGTCAATCTAAGACTCTTAAGATCTGTGCCAATCATCTAGGTTTGTTTATAGTTCGATTCGTGACGTTTACTTGCATGATTAAAGTTTATTTTATTCAATTATGTGTTTCATTTGATTCGGGATCTGAGATTTGGACTCTGATTCGGTGCTATGCAGTTATTCCGACGATGACAGTTCAGGAACATGCTGGAAACGAAAAGTCCTGTGTGTGGCATGCCGCAGATTTTGCTGATGGTGAATTGAAGGATGAATTTTTCTGTATTAGATTTGCATCGTTAGAGAGTAAGAATTTCTGAATCTGCTGGTTCGGTTAATTTTTACTAGATTCTAGGGTCTTGTTTGATAGATGAAGCTTTCAATTAGCTAAAATCTGCAATTTCCTTTTGTCGTGATTGCCTTTGCCCCATAATTGCTAGTCATTATAATGGCTCCTTTTGTGCCTATGGTTATAACATTAGATTTTTGTTTGGAGAACATTTCATTCTCTACTGAATGCTGTAATGGGTGCACGTATTGTAGTTGTAGATTTCTGAAGTATTCAGATCAATTGAGTATAGAAGCTCACCAGTTAATTACTGTACTTTAGGTATGATTTGTAGTTTCTCATTTTCTTCTTGTTAGTCACCAACTCAAGCTTGTCTCTATGATTGGAAAACCTACACTAACATACACTTCTGTTGTGTGCATATGATTTATTTCGTTTTGATTGTTCATAAACTATCAGTCTAGTTGAAACTACCAGTTACTCCACTCTGGAAGATTGAATGTAGTGACAATCATAAGATTAGATCTTCAGGTCTGAGGTGTAAAATTCTGCAATTCATCTACTTGAGCGTAATTGGGATGCAAAGGTGTTCCAGTAGTTTTGGCGTATGAGGCTATGATTGTTGTTTGGATTGGGTGATGGATCAAGGCAAGATTATAGTACCACCAAATTATGTTTTGGGTAGTTTGTTGGTGTAATTTAGATAACCAAATGTCTCGATAGATTCTGAGTTGGGGTGTGTAGGGGAGGAGGTAGAAGTGTACTTAGATGGACAGGGAAATAGAATTTTGCAAGCTCTGCTCCTCTTCAAGCCTATATAAGTTGTCTATATTAGAACCAATGGCTTGATGTTTCAGATGTTGAAGTTTAATAGAGGTTATTTCATATCCGAGGTACCTATTCAGCTATTCTCAACATGAGATGTTAGTTATGGATTTAATGGTGTGTATTCCTTGAATATATATAAGCTAATAGCAAGAAAGAGTGATCAAGGAAGTTAAGATACCCTACGTAGTACATCCTTGCCTTTTGAAAATTGAAACAGTGGTTGAAGCATGAATAGAACTTGGAAGAGTAAAATCCCTATTAAGGTTGATTGCAGAAACTAGGGAATTGATGAGTCCCTAAATTCTTTTCCAATTCTAGACTTAAGTGCAGGCTCAAGATTATAGATGTACAAATTTTACTGCTCAACATTGTGCGCTATGAATAAAGATCATCTCACCTGTGACTCTGGTTGTCAACAGTCTGATCTCTTCCATGCCTTAGGCCCTCCTATATAGTAGATCCACGACTTTGCTGATGTGGGAAAAGCAAACCAAACCTTAAACTGATAGGTGACTTCTCTCTGCAAGGGAATAACATGTATATTATTTTTGTTTAGTGGCAACATACATATTATCTTATACCTTTCAATTATTTGGTTGTGTTTTTATTCTCATTATATTAAATTGGTAATACTATCATACGAGTAGTACCAATATTATACCTTACTAAGATTTAGGCCAGGTTGGGATTAGCTGAGAGGGGAGTGATGGGACAACTGTATGTAAGGTAGACCCCATGTTTCTGCCTTCTGCTATAGTTCCGAAATCCCCAAATTCCAGAAATAATGTCATTGCAGGCCTCACAGGTTTTGAATCTAAAACATTAGACTGCAAATCAGATGCACCGTTAGAAGGCAAAACCACAACCTCAGTCTACAGAAACCTATTAAAAATGCCCCCATTTATGATTCTCCAAACTGGAACTGCCAATGACCTAAGTGATTGATCTTTTATTATTAAGTTGTTGAGAACCTTTAGGTCATATCCTCTTGATTGAGGTCCGTGTAGTGTTGAGAGTGAACTGATCTTGGACTTCTCTCCAGAATCCTAGGTACTGGTAAAAGGAATCATGGTTAATACTGCTTGCTTGGTTACCTACTTGAGAGTGATTGCTCTTTAGGGACTTGAGGACTGGTGCTTTATAAATTATCAACTAGGACTCTTGGATTACAAGGCGTGGAATGAAACCTAGCCGGGTATGGAAGGTGATGTTTCAATTACCAGGTCCTTTAGGACTCCTAAACTGGATCTTCATTGCAGTTTTTACTCAACATATTGGAGTTAATTACAGTTTCAAGGGATTAGAAAATTTCCCATGATTGGAGATAAGTCAAACACTGGATGAGACTTGAGAGGGGCCCTGGAAGTGATTCTGAGGATGTTGTAGATTAGTAGTATGTATGATTATGTCCCTGATTCTTTTATGTTGCTGCCTGTTTTTTAATTTTTTTTCTCCTCAGCAAAAATGATGTCTTAGTGTAATGTTTTTATTCTTAGATTGCAAGACCTTCATGGAGACTTTCCAAGAGGTTGCTGAATCACAAACGAAGAAAGAGGAAAATGTGGATGCATCTAATGCTGCTGGCCTACTTGAGAAGTTGAGTGTCGAAGATAAGAAACCAGAGGAGAAGAGCGAGGAAAAAACTGAAGAAAAAGTTAAGGAAGATGACGTCAAAGAAGAGAAGCCTTCTGATAATGCAGAGAAAAAGGAAGAGGCTGCTTCAGCCTGAGAGATGTATGTCATGTACGCCAAATGTAGTTGGTGAGGTTTGTAGCACCTCCATTTTTGCCAACCAAATTTGGGTATAGTCTGGTCAAGTGCAAGGGGTGTTTACTTCTGGGTGTTGCTTTGGGGCGGGGTCGTCTGGGGTGGGGGGAGGTTGTTATTTGTTTGTCCATCTCTGAGGTGTTTCAACATCTTGGGGAAACTCACGTCAAGGTCGGGTCTTGTTCTTTGATTGAGGTATTGTGTTGGTCTATTGTACGTCTTGGTATTATATACCCAACTGTACGTTGCTTATGTAAGTCCTCTTTTTGAGGCTGTTCTTTCTCTTGGTTCCATATAATTCAATTCATTACTTATTTGGGGAAGTTGAATCCACTGGTAGGTTTGCTGATGTTTTTGTTTCTATGAATGCGACTTCTTATTTTTTAAATTTTAAAAAATGGCATGGTAAGAGAAACAGGCTCTGTTTTGGTCTCATCAGTTGAGTATCGCGAAGGAAATCACTCGGTTTGTATGATATATAGACACGAGATGCTGCTCACAGTACTGCACTGTGATCAGACTGCTGTCTGTTTTGGGTCTCTTGGAACTTTGATTTAAAGAGTTCTCTGGATATTTGGTTTACTTTCAATGTACATGTAAGAGTGGAGTTGTCTCAAACTGTGTAGTAGGTTCACTTGGTCACAAACTACTGAGCTCGTATGTGGAATCCTCAATGAAACAGCTCGTGAGCGGATAATGAAGCTTCCTCTTTTGATTTACGTAAAAAGAAAACAAGATATGTAGTAATTACTGAATACATATTTACCTTTCTGTGTAGCCATTCTTTGATTACAGGCAATGTTAATGAGCTGCATATAGTTATTGGTTTTATACAATTTATTTTCTTTATGACTTGTTACGCCTTTTAAGAATATCAGTAGTTAAACTGTTCATGGTTCGTCAAGAAAGCTACATTAACATTTTAAATATAACTCCTAGGCTTGAGTTCTACGTACAAGACAGATCGATGAAGGATATTTACTGTTTATGACCTAACTATAAAATTCTAATATGATTATATATTTGAAGTTGAACCTCTTCCTCTTACGTTATTTACCCACTAAAAATGTTAGACCAAAATGATACTTAAAAATAAAATTGTACAACAATTATATAGTAACCCCGATCATTAAGCCAAGACATTCGTTCTGTATTGGGTACCTCGAAATATTTGAAGCAAAAAAAACTGACCACCTCTCCAAGAAACCACTATCTTTCACTCAATTTTCCCTATCTTTTCGAATCTTAACAAATTGACTTCTTTTATTTTTACATACATGTATATATTTTTTCCTTATGTCTTTCATTTTCCCTGTATCAATTTCCTCAAAAACAAAATATGGACAATGCAAATGGCACCACTTCCTGTATCCAAAACTCACATTCTTCTTCCGTTATTGCGAGCCCTGACGCAACCTTAGGGCGCCATTTAGCCCGAAGGTTACTTGAAATTGGCGTTGAGGATGTTTTCTCAGTGCCTGGTGATTTCAACCTCACACTTCTTGATCACCTAATTGCTGAGCCAAGGCTTAAGAATGTTGGTTGTTGCAATGAGCTTAATGCTGGATATGCTGCTGACGGGTATGCGAGATCTCGAGGCGTTGGTGCGTGTGTTGTCACGTTCACTGTGGGTGGGCTTAGTGTGATTAATGCTATTGCTGGTGCTTATAGTGAGAATCTTCCTATTATCTGCATTGTTGGAGGTCCTAATACTAATGACTATGGAACTAATAGAATACTGCACCATACTATTGGATTGCCTGATTTCAGCCAAGAACTTAGGTGTTTTCAGACTGTTACATGTTATCAAGTAAGTTAAGTTCTAGTTTTGGATTCAGAATTTGAAGTTTACAGGTTACTATGTACTATGTTAAGATTGACAAGTAAAAGTGAAAATTTATTTTTGGAATACTAGACAAGTAAAAGTGAACGGAGAGAGAGAGTACTACTTTTTATGTAGTTCTTTAGATAAACAAACTTTATTTCTAAGAACTTGAGGATTCTATGTCCAAATTTACACTGAAAAGTAAGTACTTTGACCCTTATACACCGAACCATGTCAAACACGAAATAGAAGATGGTGCTTATATCCAAAGAAAAATTCTACTCCTATTTCTTTCCCCCATTAATACAATGCAAAAAGTTCCCTACATATCCAACTAATTGTATGTTTCTATGTTTGGTTGTGTTAGGCTGTGATAAATAACTTGGAGGATGCACTTGAACAAATTGATAGAGCAATTTCTACTGCTCTAATAGAAAGAAAGCCAGTATATATTAGTATCAGTTGCAATTTGCCAGCCACCCCTCATCCAACATTCAGCAGGGATCCCATTCCATTTTTTCTATCACCTAGGTATGTGCTACATTATCAATTATTCTTACATTTATAAAGAACTTGCATGACAGTGGCGGATATAAACTAGACGCAGCGAGTTCACATATCCATCGTGTCTAGCTCAGAGTATATATGTGTGAAAAAATGGCACATATCTAAAGAGCAGAACTCATTGACTCATAATTCTGGATCCGTCATTGTTGCATGAGAGCTATTTTTTAACTTACCTTTAGAACTTACAATGGCTGATCAAGACTTGACACATGAGTTTGACTATATATGTGTATGTGAAAAGAGACTGGCACATATATAAAGACGGTAATTTTCCCGTCGAAGGAGGTTCGGATGAACCCCTCAACCCTACCTACTTGGCCTACCTGGCTCCCCCCCTGATGGCGGATCAAGACCAGATGCAGTGGGTTCGCCTAAATATGCGTGTGTGAAAAGAAATTAGCACATATATAAAGAGAAGAACTTACTGACCTTAAATCTAATCTTGGATTCGCCACTGTTGTATGTGAAATGTTCTTTCAACTTACAATTAGAACTTATTGATACAGGCTAAGTAGCAAGAAGGGGTTGGAAGCTGCAGTGGATGCAGCAGTGGCCTTTCTAAGCAAGGCAGTAAAACCAGTCATGATTGGAGGGCCAAAGCTAAGAGTAGCTAAAGCTTGTGATGCTTTTGCTGAACTTGCTGATTCTTCTGGTTATGCCATGGCAATGATGCCATCAGCAAAAGGGCTAGTAGCAGAACAACACCCTCACTTCATTGGCACTTACTGGGGTGCGGTAGGCACATCCTATTGCGCGGAAATCGTTGAATCAGCTGATGCTTACTTGTTTGCTGGTCCGGTTTTTAATGATTACAGCTCTGTTGGGTACTCACTTTTGATCAAGAGAGAAAAGGCGTTAATCGTGCAGCCTGATAGAGTTGTAATTGGAAATGGACCAGCATTTGGTTGTGTCCTAATGAAAGATTTCCTATCTGAACTAGCAAAGAAAGTAAAGAAAAACGAAACTGCTTATGATAACTATCGTCGGATCTTTGTTCCTGAAGGAACTCCTCCAAAGCCGGAGCCTAACGAACCTCTAAGAGTCAATGTTCTGTTCCAACATGTACAGAAGATGCTTTCAGCTGATACAGCTGTGATTGCTGAGACAGGGGATTCTTGGTTCAATTGCCAGAAGCTTAAGTTACCAGAAGGATGTGGGTATGTGACTAATAAAAGCTTAACAGCCTGGTATCCATTTTATTTTGAGTCATTAGACGTAAAAAGTTCGTGTTGCAGGTATCAATTCCAGATGCAATATGGCTCCATTGGTTGGTCTGTTGGTGCTACTTTGGGCTACGCACAATCTGTACCCAAAAAACGTGTCATATCTTTCATCGGTGATGGAAGTTTTCAGGTAAGAAAATGACTTCCGTCATACCAGACACAATTATTTGTTTGGAGAACTAAATTTTGGATACCAGGTTACTGCACAAGACGTGTCAACAATGATTCGTTGTGACCAAAAACCTATCATTTTCTTGATTAATAATGGTGGTTACACCATTGAGGTTGAAATCCACGATGGGCCTTATAATGTGATCAAGAACTGGAACTACACTGGTTTGGTGGATGCACTTCACAATGGTGAAGGCAATTGCTGGACCCAAAAGGTAAGTGTTACTTACTCTACATAGAAATGTTCATCCATACTTCCAACAAAAAAACGTTGTTTTCAAATTGTTTTATAACTGGATTGTAGGTAAGGACGGAAGAGGAGCTGACAGAAGCAATCGCAACTGCAACTGGAGAGAAGAAAGATTGCTTATGTTTCATTGAAGTTATTGTTCACAGGGATGATACTAGCAAAGAATTACTTGAATGGGGATCTAGAGTCTGTTCTGCCAATGGACGTCCACCAAACCCTCAATGAGTCTGCTAGATTAGTTTTTATTTCCAGCACTTCTTTCTACTTTTTCGATAACACCCGAGCCGTATTAGAATTCTTTGTTTAAACTCTCAGTAATCAGAATTAATTACCATTTAATAAAATGGATTTTTGGACTATTACCTGTCTCCATCTATTACAGTTTCACCCAGCTGATTTAACAATTCCCCTTCAATATCAGACGGTTTTGGAAATTGAAGGTTCAATGTTAGGAGTCAGCTTCTATGAATTCCCACTGACTAAACGATTCACTAGTTAATGAAGGCAAAAATTTAGCATTTCAAACTGTTAAACCTCTCTGATATGTATATAGCTAGATAACTAGCAGACTACCGTATGAGAAAAGACTCATTGCTCAAAAAATGAACTGGGATAAGAAAGTATGACCAAAAACAATGCATTACTTTTCAAGTTTAACAATCTGTCTTGTGTTCAACTTCACTGAAAGCTAAAAGCTAAACACAAGTGAATATCTATTTCAGTATGCAGCAAAACACTGTTAATCCTTCAAATACAGAAGACAAAACAGTCGTAGTTCACTCTGTTTGGGACATTGTCGCATCTTCACAATATTAGCAGGCCAATAAGCCATTTGGTAAAAGAAAAAACGGATCGAGATGAATCAGTAATTAAGGAGTAAATATCATAAACTTGAGCCAAAAATGGCTCCCAGAGTTTCAATACACCTCAGAAACAGAAATACATTAGGTTTAGGTGCCATTAGCACAATGTAACTACTGAAATTTAACTGCAAACACAGAAAATAAGACAAAAACGCAATAACCTAGAGGGACGGAGATATGTCAAAAGCTAAGAACTGCAAAGTACAATTCTACTTAGATCTCTGCCTCATCTTTCGGCGCTTCCTCTTCAATCTCCTCATACGCTTCTTCTTCCACTGAAATGAAAAAAAATGCGCAGTGAGCACCATCACATATTAATCGCAATAAAAAAAGTAGCACATGTAAAGCTTCAACAATGGAGCATGATTCACAAATCGGTAGTGATAGGAGTATTATTCTGTATCAATCGACTTAAAATTCTAGATCCGTCTGCATAAAACTACAATCTAAAAAAGGAAAAAACGAGACGAAGACGTCTACGTACCTTGGCTCTCATGGTGAATCAGCTACGACGGAAGGGAGTCTATTTACTGCCTGGCCGGAGTGAACTTACCGATGAAGAAGAGAAGCTGCACGATGAGAACGGAAGTGAGGACTGGTGGAATATAAAAGGAAACCCTAAGAGTGGATATGACTAATGGGCTTTGGGGCAAATCATCCGAGAAATGGGCCCAGTCTCTGTAGGATTTGCACCAAGTAACCAAAATATATGCCTTATGTTTAATTTTTCAAGTATTTATTTTTTAGACATCCAATTTATGTTTGTATTCCTACATGAATTCATTAATTTTCTTAAAATAAAAAACATATAGGAGTAGTTAAAATTACATTTTATGAAAATACTATAAATGTTCATAATATATATTTTAATACATTTGTATTTGATCAAATGCAAGTTTATTTGATCTCATACATGATAACAAAGAAAAAAGATTGTTCGATCATTAAATTATGGAGTAATTCTTTTATATAAAAATACGAATCAGAGTAATGGAAAAAGTATCAAAATGTGCTGCATGGATTGTCAAGAATGAAATGATATAAGTTAGTAGTTAATTAAATTTACTACCTATAGCTAAAACCGACATCTCCAAGAAAGAGAAACATCACATAAATTAAAAAACCTACTTTCTACTAGTCTCCAACCTAATTTTCATGCCTTATTGAAATATATATTATTGTTTGTTCAATTTTTTATAGTATATAATATTAACAAATTAATACACAAAAATCTTCATCCCGTCAATCACGTTTTAACAAACAAATAAAGAGTAATATTTTCATAAAAACATATAATAGATGAAAATATTCATAAATTTTCTTTGATTTGAATTGCATCAAAACTGGAGTTGCAAATTATCAATCTGCAACTCCAATTGATTCATGATAAATATATATGATTAATCGTCACTCAAAGGTATAATCCAAATCCTATATAGAATTCAACTTTCATTTTCCATTATTATAGTCTTAACCTAAAAATTAAATATTTTTCCCCCAAATTTTATTCTTATCAAAACAGGAAAAATTTAACCAACCATTTCAATTTTTGTTCTTTTTCTCAGTTTTCCACATCTTGCAATCTCCGTCTCTCTTTAAACCTATCGTCCTATCCACAACTGACGACTACTTTAATTACATAATTTTTATTATTATTATATTCAGTTAGCATAAGCCTACAGGAATACTTTTTTCTTTTTTTTGTTTGGAGAGAAATTGTAGCTTCAAGCAAAAATGGGTACTGGTTCATCGAAGAACACAGACAGTAGCTCGCATGGCAGCGAAGATAGAGAAGATCATGGAGGAGGACAGCTTTACGTTTCTCTCAAAATGGAGAATTATAAGCTTAAAGGAGAACTCATTCCTCATGTTTATGGTTCCGTTCCATTAATTGGCTCATGGGATTCATCTAAAGCTGTAATTTCATCACTCTCACCTTTTTCAGTTTTTCCTTTTGATTTTTGTGATTAATAACTAATGCAGTTTTGTTTTTCATTATCAGCTTCCGATGGAACGGGAATCAACTTCTATGTGGGAACTGAGTTTCGTTGTTCCTCCTAATCACGGTTAGTTTACTATTGTGATTTTGTTAAATTTGTGGTTAATTCATGGAATGAAAATCTATGGTAATTTCATTTGCGGATTTGCGGAATGGAGTTATAGGAGGATTAGTATAGTTGACCCGAACTAAATAGGGATTGGGAAGTAGTTGATTGATTGATTTTTATTTGTATAGAGACATTGGACTTTAAGTTCCTTTTGAAGCCAAAGTACAATCATGAGCCTTGTATAGTGGAGGAAGGCCCAAACCGTGTACTTATTGCTGGAACGTTGCAAGGGGATGGGCGTTCAGCCTCGTTTAAGCTGGAAAATGAAGAGATTATTGAATATAGAGTGTTTGTTAAAGCAGACAGAGTTTCACCATTTGACCTTGCGGCTAGTTGGAGAGCCTTTCAGGAAAATCGCAGGCTTTCTACTGTTCGAGGAGTACCAGATGTTAGCATAAATTCGACACCAGCAATGGGTGCAGAGGTAAGATGTTGCTATTGTTTGACTGCTAGTTGTAAATGCTGCTTTGTAACCATGGTGCTAGATGCCTGTGATTACTGTCTTACTATCGTGTTAGATGATCTCTCCATGTGAATGAGTGTTTGTTTAACATGCTGGAGCTCAGAAGCCTTGTGCTCACATTTGGTGCAAATGTAGAAACTATACTATTACAGGTTATTGCATCAACAGATATTGTACATTTAAATTTAAAGGGAGATAATTTGCTCTTCTTTAGGAGTAAAATGAGGTTGCAGATTTTGATATTGAAGATGTTTTAATTTGAATAAAGATGTTTAGCCTATGCCTTTTGTTACTATATGTGTAATTTTGAGGAAACTATTGACTTTCATGTTTCTTATCAGTGCTCCTAGTTTTTCTGCTTCCGTCTATTGGTCAAATTATTCTTGTGTTTAGCTTCTTCAGATGTCTGTGGATGAATATTGCTTACCAGGGTTGTTTCTATAGATTTTGGCAGTTGGTTATGTTTTTCATATATGCCTTAATTATATTAATTATATTTTAAATATTTTTTCTCGACAGCATGGCTCTTCGGCTAGTCTAGAGCTTGATCTTGAACATTATGTTGTCCCTGCTCCAGCAACATCTGCACCGGTTTATGCTGCTAACTTGACAGAAACTCCTAGGTCTCTAACACGTAAAGGGGTATTTTCTGGGACAGATGGCACTATCATTCCAAGGCCTTCCTCAAAAGATGGTCACACTTCAAATGATCGGTCTGCTACAATAAAGGTTCTTGTGGTGCCTTTTGACTTGAGGTCTAGTTTGACTATAGGACTTGAGATTTTGTCTATCTTTATCCCATTCTTATCAAAACAAAACAAACCCCCAAAGTGCGCTTGAGATTCAGAGTTATACTAATTCTCTGACTATTTTTTTTGGGATAAGTGTTTCACTGTAATGCATTCCCATAATTTAAGAGAAATAGGCATTAGCATTTTTGTAATACATGATAATGATCATCATTTTACTCAGTAAAATGAAAAAGCTATTCAACCCTGGTACTTATATTATATACTAATCTTTTTCATCCTCCAGCTAAAAATCTTGTATAGTAAGCATCTTTGACACTCATATAACCAATCATAGAGGCTATTTAAATTTTTATCCCATATTATGCACAGAAGGTTTTACATTCGCTGGAAACATGCATGTTATGTGACTAGTGTTCTCCCTACTTAATTTACCAACCTTATGCTTTTATTCATTCTACATGTATTACCATTTTCTTTCAAATTGTACCTCATTGGTTAAGAGCCACAGTTGATTCACATTATGCCGTCTTTTTATCATCCAGCAGATGGAAGTAATTGTCCCGGATCCAACTAGAGTCCCCTCAGGGTCTGGTACGGTTGAATCCAAGTCCATGGGTGCGTTCTCGTCTTTGCAAAAGCAAGATAGTTACAGGGGAATCCTTGTAGATAGGGGTGTGGGATCTCCAAGACTAGTAAAATCACCCAGTACAACCAGTTTTACTCTTGATCTCAAGCCTGATTCAGATGCCAAGGTGTGTAGAAATCTAATGTTTCTGTTGTGATGAATATTGTAATAAAATATCTGTTGTATCTTGGTTTATGCATCTGATGTATCATTCTTTTAAATTGTTTAGAATGTGATGCCAGCTGCTGCAGGAGCAGTTGCAGCTGGAGCTGTAGCTGATCAGATGCTTGGGCCAAAGGAAGACATGCATCTAGCAATCGTTCTGGTATTTTTTCTTTTATGATGAAGAACTGATAAGCATGTTAGTTTTGGTGTAAGCTTGTCAACTTTGATGCTGATGTTGTGCTCTCGGATTGGATTTCCTATG